CTTGCCCAGTCAGATATCTGTGTGATTTGAATCATTATAAATCAGCCAAAAGGAAAGGAAATGTATGAAGTCTTATGTCACTGCCTTTTTTTTTTTTTTTAACAGTTATTAATACCAACTAAAGGAGAGAAGCCTGTGCAGACATGCATACGCCGTTCTCACAAGCATGTTTACAGCTGATGACAACTTCCCCTGTGGAGTATTTAGGGCACTCAAACAGGTGCAGCACAAACAGTCCAAGTCAAAGGACCAATAAGAAATTAGCCTACTGAGCCTATAAATATGTTACAATTTACTGTATATTCAAAACACAAATGTTATGTTGTTTCTTGGCCCTGGTGGACCACAGTTGGTTTCATTTCTATCTACAAAACTGTTAAGTAAATATACAGTACATCAAAAATTGAGACACAGTAAAACTATAGTTCCTTGGATTGATTCAGTGGCTTATAAAAAGTAGAACATCACCTGTACTGCTGGCACACAAGCCTAAACACGTGAACACACAGACTCAAACATAAATACACTCAAAGAAACTGAGTGAGGAGCCATAATACACTGACACAGCCAAATACACAGACACACATCAGCAGCAAAAGCAATAAACATTGATCTGGCTGACTACTGACAACACTTATTACCGGGAGTTTGCCTCCTGGATGAAATATGCACAGTACTGCACACAGAGAGCCATGTGCACACATAAACATAACATATAGGTTCTTCTGACCTTTCTTTGTTAGAGGGGAGGACTATGACAAAAACCAGGGGAAAGATAAGAAGGTCAGACTAATTCAGCACAAAGCTTCTAGGAGAGTTATTGTGTCACAGTGTAGTGACAGTGTGGCCCATTCACTGGCTAACACACTTTGCAAAATGAGATCTTTATCAAATGACATTATTGTCTCTGGGTAACTTCCCAGAAATCAGACTGAACAACACATGGGTAATTTTAGTGGTTTTGTTTATAATTACAAGATGTGTTATTGTGCACACTCACTCCAGGGGGCAATTTAGAGTCGCCAGTCAACCTAAACTCTGAAATCGTTATACCAATAAAAACAGATCAGAGGCAACAGCGACAATTACATCAAGTAAAACGTAAACTACAGACACAAAAAAATCCCTGAACTTAAGATACAAATGGTACTTTAAGGTACAGCTCCAACACAAAAGACCATAAATTCAAGTAATTAAGCATAAAAACAATCAACATCTGGAACCAACAGACATTACAAAATCCAAAACATGAGCAAAGCCTAAATAAAACCAAAATCTAATTTTAGTCTCATTAAATAGCCAAGTAAACTGTTTGCTCCTTTTTAATGAATCAAGTCCCCTTGAATTCTCGTATACACTAACCACATTAAACAACCCACAGTAGTTGCTATGAACATGCACATAAAGACACGAAACATGTCCACACACATGCAGAGACATTTATTTCATGTCACTGAACACCAGTCTAAAGTTACAGTTTCACTCAGCTGTGTGAGAAGACTTGCAGCCACACTGGAACTCACATTCCCTCTACTCACTGATTAGCTTGATGTCCATTCTGTGAGAGTGCTTCATGGTTGCTAGATACAGCTGGCCACTCCGCCTCCCACACTGACAGTTCAGTGCCGGGGTGAACGAGGTATACTACAGTCCCTTAGCTACTCTCCCTTTCTCTCTCCCTGACTGTCTGCTCTCTTTTTCGCTCCCCTTACTCCATTTCTAACTTGAACACTCCCCAAATCACACTTTTTTTTGCTCTCTTCTCTCCCTATTCTCATCAGCAGTCTTTCCTTGCTCTCTCTCTCTCTCTCCACTACATTCACTAATACATTCATTATTCCCTCTCTCTCTCTCCCGCCCACCTTTCGCTGACACTGTACATAGTTCACAGCCATGCGCTAGAGTTTGACCAGCCAGACCATCCCATTGCACAAACACATGCTGTCATAATCCATATACCAACATGTACTGACTATAGAAACAAGTAATGTGGGATAATAATTATTCTTCTGTCTGTAAACTAACCCATTAAGGGACTAATAGTTGAATCTCTTCCTAACAGAGGCACTGAAATGAACTGAGGCAAATTACAGTTTTTGCTCAGTGTATGTTGTTATGGTTCCTCAAAGAAAAAAAGAAAACAAAATGTATTCCTACAAAGTACATGTACCAAGCCCCAGTGGTGAAATTAAATGATTTTATCATATATATAGCAGACGAAACACCCAATCAATATACAGACTCATTGTGCTGTGAAAGCCTGAAACATCAACTGTATCTGACCTGACGTGGCCTATAGGCAGGCATCTGGCTCATGAAAACAAAAACAACTGCCACTAATTACAGCCATGATTTTTATTTCTCTGTATCACCGCCCCTGTGTTTAAACAGCACACACACTAACGTGATAACTTTGGCTACAACTCAAACACAAAAGACCATAAATCCCAGTAATTGGATTGCAGTCCACACATCCCAGCTCAAACTGTAAAATATTATTTATCACCACCAAAACACTTCCCCTGACCTGCCACTAAACCCAAGTGACCGCTATGCTACAAAAACTCTCCTGGAACATGCTTCCAAATTATTATGGTGGAGGATCTTCTATAGTGTAAGGCTGATGTTGATCCAAGGCAACTTGCCGTACAATTAATGCAGTTAAAACAAGACACAGATTCACAGCATTCCAATGTAACGGTGTGTTTTTAAAGGCCCATGTCAAAGTCAAACCCAGTCAGTTTTGGGTGTCAGTTTTATATTCTGCTGCATTAAAAAGCACATTAACCTGTAAATGAATTACATAGCCAGAACCAGCCTTTTTGCAAATGCTTGCATGATTAACAGCAGGTTTTTGTACAGACACAGGAGAGGAACAGTACCATAAATGGTCAAAAGGCAATAACTACCCTAACACTGTCCAAATTTGAACCTGATATACATCTGTTAATTACTTTAACAACATCTTTTGAAGACAAAAGTGGAGTCAGTTGGAGTAGGCAGTGCCTTGCTCAAAAGTAAATTTGTTTTTCTTTCTTGCCTGACTTTTCAACCAAAGCGCTGCACTTTTACTTTAGTTAAGTGAATCAAAACACTGATCCTGCTTTCTGGTACACTAAATGTCAAATCAGTCAAAGCGCGCACAAGTGGTTTCTCTGTGCATGTGCAGAAAGTCCGAGGCGAACGGCAGATCAGAAAATCAGATAATTTTTAAAAACATAACGTGGCCATGGGTCTTACAAGGTAAAGCTCATGTGTAATGTTTTGTGTCAAGGAGTTTCTCATGCTGTGTGTGTGTGTCCTGTCAACTTCTAAGCTGCTATGTGTGCACGTGTCTGGCTCTATTCTGTTTCCTGCAACACCCGTTAGAACAGAACACAGTGTCATGATCAAGATATGTGCTCTATGTGTGTGTGCCTGGGGCCTTGTTTATATATACTTGTGGGGACAGAACACTGGCACTGGAAGTCGTTTGTGGGGATCAGAGGCTGGGCCCCATGACTAATTCCTCAAATTTAACAAAAAGGATGGGGTGTAAAGTTAGAGCAACTGTCGGCTTTGGTTAAGGTTAGGGTAAGTGTTAAGGTTAGGCAAGTAGTGGTTCTAGCTGAGGTTAGGGAAGGTCTCCTGGAAATGAATGTAAGTCTGTGTATAGACCCTGTGAGTGACGACAGCTAGGATGCGTGTGTGTATGTGTGTGTGAGAGAGAGAGCAAGTGAGAGAGAGAGAGGGGAGAAAGGGAGAAAGAATGTGCTTGTCTCAGCAAGCTGGTCTGCCCAAAATTAATGTTTTGTTATTAATTTAATTAAAAATAGTGTCACAAAGAAACAAACAGAAATGAATGTTTTTGTGCGTCTGTGTGAGTGTACAGTATGTACTATATGTGTGTGTGTGTGTGTCTCCTTGATCTTGCTAGAGACAGCCTGTCTCCTGGCCGTCTGTCAGTGAAAATTAATATCAGGATTGGATCGCATTTACAGTAAGTCAGAAGTAAAATCATTGTAGAGAAGGTGGCCAGCCGATTAGCAGCTGAGCAAACGACCAAAAACTCGACTGGTTGGACAATTAGGTCATGTGGAAAGAGACAAAGACAGTCTATGCAAATACAGTATACAGAGTGAAAACATGTTTATGTTCTTGTCCCATTAAGGAAAAAGGTTTTATGATTGAATTGCATTTCTTGAGGCATTTATGGGACAGAACTAGATGCAGGCATACATGTGCTTGCTGTTATGTAAAAACACCCAAGTAAATATCACTTCTACTCAAGCACGTTTGAAATGCATATTACCTCCTTTCAGATGTTAAAACATAACCTGGTGTGTGTGCACATGTACTGAAAGGACCCTGCGATGTCACTGGGATTTATCTTCTTCTTGTATGTCTTACACCACTTTAGTGTGTGTGTGTGTGTGTGTGTGTGTATCTCAATTAGAGAATAAAGTGGAGGAGAGAAGGGGGACAGCAGAGGAAATAAAGAGAAAAGAAAGGGCAGCCAGTGGGATCAACAACAGATGTGCTTCTACGGACCCAAAACCCGCTGTGGATAAGGAACCATGTGGGAAAAGAGTAGAGAGGAAGAGAAAAGAGTGGAGCAGTCGACCACAAGGGAATAGTGAGAACCCTTCCTTCTGGGAATCAAACAGATAGAAGACCTATGTGAAGTCCCTGCTTCATTTAATGCCCCCTGAGTTTATCAGCACATCAACTATGTAACAGATGATGTTCTTTGTGTATGTATGAACTGTGCTATACACAATTACATTAAGGGCAGTAAAGTTTTATGATATGTACTGTAAACAACCAAACGGTGTGAAGTTTAACTCTTCACCACTCTGGCAAATCTTTCCAGGCCTTTCATTTTGACTCATAATATACAAACCTGATGAACTGACCACATTTGTTTAACTCAGTGTTAATTCACAAAGGTTTTGCACCCTCAAACATACAAATAAACAAAACCTTTGATATACAGTACATGCCCACAATATAACACCGACCTTTCAGCACGGCGTGGCTGTTGGGAAGCTGGGGAAAGGGGTATGGCAGGGGAGAGCGGGCACCAAGAGCAGCTGTGGCCTCAAGCAGGGCTCCAGTCAGCAGGGAACAAACTGGTGTCCTGTGGCCACAAGCACGATAAAACCTGGAGATAAATGAGAAGTGGAGACCATAAAGCAAAACCAAAGTAAAGTCGACTTGGGATTCGCATTTGAGCATTTAATGTCGTGCACAGTGTTTATTGTAGTGTCAATCAATCGTTCAGTCATTTCTCAAGTAATCCAAAAACTCTTTAGTGTATAATGTGTCATACAATAATAAAAATGCCCATCACAACATCCTAAAGCTCCAGGTGTTTGTGTTGTTTCACCAAGAGATCTTCACTAGATCACCTGCCACTGCCAGTCACTTTGTGTCTTTTCTCTTCCAGTCAGTCAATTTCACTTACCACCTACAGGTTTTACGTCAACAATATGCCTTCAGGAAATCATCATTTTCCCCACTATTTATAATGTTAATTAGGTACCTTTACTTAGTTTCATAAATGTTTAGCTGTTTAAGTTGATTTTGCCGTTATGTGACCTAAACACTGGGGCACCCAAGACTGGAGTTTTTTTTAACTAGAATAATTTTACTGTAGTATATCAGGCAAATCATGAGCCATAATGGGCACAAACCTGGGTGGATTAGAATGATGACACCAGGGATTACTGCAGGGGTTAAGATCAGGTCTGGCTGGGCTTGCATTCACAGTGCACAATGGCCGGCAAGACTCCCTGAGATGCACACATCCAGGGCAAGACTGGAGAAGTTTTTTGGCAGGATGAATCAGGTTGAGGTCCTCAATGTTCTGCACATAGTTTATAACCTGTTGAGGCAATCATGGAGAAATTTGTCAGATTTGTCTGGGAAGGCTCATCAGTGCTGCATTGGCAACCGTACAACTATCAGCCAATGCAGCAAACACTTCAATACTGCCCTTGTACTGAGATGAAAAGTGACACAGAAGCGTTATGGCTAAACTCCCTTTATTCGGCACCATTCAGACAGTTATATAACATCTGAATCACAGGTCATGCCATTAACACCTCCTGCACTCATCCTCAGAAACAATTTCCTTTTGACATAACAGAAATCAAAGCATAAAAAAAATATTTGATAGAGAGAAATACCACTGAGGGACATTACAGAGAGGAAGAAAGGTGGAAAATGGATCCAGGCAGAAATCTTCATCAAAGTGAGACACACAGATACACAGAGAAGGAGAATAATACAAAGAAGGAAAAATAAGACGGGGGAAGGCAGCAGACAAAGGCAAAGACAGAAAGAAGAGATGTCAATGAAGAGATTAACTACTTGAACATTTTGACCTTAAAGACCTCTTTCAGTTCACATTCTTCTTGGAACAAAATCCCTTTGACCTAAAAGGAAACACTTATCCAAGACAAGTGGCTCATTTTTTGTACTTGAGTGGACCTGCAGACGAGGTCTGCTGGCACTAATTTCAGAGAAAAGCCATTAAGGCAACATTTTGTGGCAATGCAAGTGGGCAGTAATGCCTTTGGCGGGGATGGATATTACAAAATCGGACAAAATCAATACCGGTGACTGAGTGGGGGCTGCATACAATAGAGGTTTAATGAAAAAATACAGCTTGGGTGTAATCATCAGTGACAGTGCCGTCTGCACTGCTTCCTGATATTGCCAGGAAGGAGATGGGTGGAGAAGGCCACCAACCCCAGGCTTGTGGTGTAAATTCTCATATTAAATATATGTGAATCGGTTTGTATTAAATGCAGGCCGGCAGTGATGTGGCATAATATGCATAGTGCATGGCCAACTAGTCCCCTTAGAGGGGCTGTTGTCAGATCTGGGCCATCTCAAGGGAAATGAGAGATAGTAGCCTGCATATCTATAGAGTGAAAGATACAAAGCCAAAGGGTGGGACAGCAAACAAGAACATACTAACAGCACACACAGTCCATCTTTCTCAGAGACGTACTGTTGAATTTCAGCAATAAAATCTAAGGGGTGTAACAACACCAAAAACTCACAGTATAATACTGCCGCAATAAAAAGTCCATATTTATTAGGGCATTAATGAAGATGAAAAAATGTCCTTTACTAAATAATAAATCACCATTTTTTTGTCTAACGTATATAAAAGGTAATGCCGCAGTCCTTTTATGAGATAAAATAAAAATAATATATTATTGCAGCAGCTGGATCTTGTACATAAAACACATTTGCAGAGGAACATCAACCCTTTAGGAGCCCCTCAGCAAGTTTAAAGCAGCAATAAGAAACTTCTCCCTCTAATTTTTGACCATTAAGGGTGAAGTGAGAGCCAAAACAAACTCAAGCAGTAACCCCTCCTCTTCTCCCTAAACTCCTCCTTGCGCCTACTGCCCTGTCTGTGAAACTAGGTCATATGTGGCCATGACAGCCGGAGACAGCTGTAGCAGTCAGGTATAACCAGCTCCAGAACCAATGCCTCCATCCAGCAGTATCTGCAAATTGTTCAGAATTTCTTCATTTCCTTTTTGTGTGTGTGTCATTTCTTGAAGCAGGAAAACTGAAATGCTGCTACACAATTGACAGTGGAGCTTGTCCATTTCAAATTCTGTGACCACTTACACTAGTATAACTGTATATTAACAAATTAACTACATGTAGATACCATCATAGTCCCATGACATTATAGAGACATTTTTCTTTTGTGGTATCACAAAATTACAAATATCATTACATGCCTACTAAAAGCTGAAACTTGCAAAACAATTTAGAGGAAAACTGGTTAAACCCATTTGGACTACTAGCTCCATTGATTATTCTTTTCTTCCCTTGCCCAGAACATTCACTGACTCATAATTCTGGTAAGACCTAATTTTCTCTATCAGAGAGACTGTTAAACAACATGGACCTACAGTTTGAATGAGGTGACTGATGAAACAAGAGAAACAGTGTTGGGAGAGTGACACTGCAGGAAATGTGGTGCTTCTGTTGATGGACATAGAGCAGCTGTCATCTCACACACACACACACACACACACAAAGCTCATCTTCAAACTACAGGTAAACACAGATAGAAAATCACAGTAACACACACAATCTACATACAGCAGTATGTGCATATATACTGTATGGGAATAAAAGTCTGTGCAGCCCAATCAGTTGCAATGTTTCAGAAAACCGTCTCTGATCTTTGGATTCTCAGCTTTCACAGATGTCCTGACAAGTGAATCCAAAATAACAAGGACGGAATTTAAATGTACTCTTTTCATGTATAGAGAATTAACTTAGGCACAAGGGAACGAGCAAGTGAGTGAAGGACTGAATGAGCAAACTAATAACTGATCCATTAAAGAAAAAGAAATAAAACAGCCTAACTGTCCATTAGTACTCATACTTTTCAAATCTACCATAAAAAAAAAATCTATCACTCTAATGTAGACAGGCAAAGGCAGAAAGTACTATTCTGCTTAATGCAGCCACAAACACTTCATGGATGGGGGGGGGGCAATAACTGCATTTCATCTCAGCTGCATAAACACAGGCTATTCAATCCCAGTACTCTGTGTTCCTCATGTTTGTTCTTGTCAGAGTACTACTGATCTTGCCATTCAGTCCGTTAGCAGGGCATAGCATTATGAGACACTTACCATTACTAGTCTTGTATCTCATCTTATACTATCTGTATAGAGATAATGCTAATTAGCTTAAGATCAGCTGCTCTGATTCAGGTCCCCGTTTTCAACCTATAGTAAGTGCAAAATTTATTTGTCATCTTTTGTAAGATCAGCTGCTCTGATTCAGGTCCCTGTTTTCAACCTACAGTAAGTTCAAAATTTATTTGTCATCTTTTTAAATATAATTGTATATAGCTTGGCACATGATCCATGATTTGGGACATTCAATGCAAATTTAACTTAATAATGAAATGACACATTTGTGCTGCATACACACAAACTGCTCCTGCTTACCCACTGCCAGACTTACAAACCTTGAGGCAACTGTTTGGGATTGAGGATTTGAGATTATTTTCTTGTGACGCTGGGTGTGTGGTGCCAACGTATTCTACTGCCTCAGACTAAGAACGAGAGCTCTAGCGACCCAAACCCCTAGTGGACAGCAGTTGAATTTAACTTTTTCTGCCAAGGTTAACTACTGACAGCTCATGTTTCTACATAGCAGTTAATCTAAACTAATGGAAAGAGTAACAAAAGTGCAACCAGCAACGTCTTTTTTTTACAGTTCCATTGTTCTCTTTGACTGGCAGCTTCCTGTCTCACTTCGAAGTTCAACTATTACAAAATGAGATGACCAGTCTGATCGACCAGCATTTCCATGAGCATGCTTTTTTTTTTTTTTTCTTGATGTCTGCTGACACTTAAAGAGTTTAGAGTTCCTCAAAGACCAGGATCAAACTTGTGACACTTATGGAATTGGTTTCTTTAACTGCTGGTCGAACTATCACATTCATAATTTAAAGGAGAATAAATAAAACGGCCCAAAAAGAAACAAGTATACAACCTACGGCTTTCATATTAATGACAGTTAGTCCATGTACTGTAACCTGTAGGTGTAAATGAGGCTGTCATTAAGTTCCATTAGTGGCCAGTTGCGTAATTTCTCTGCCTTCCTGGGGCCATTCTGGGAAAGCACTAGGAAGGAGTACTGTGGGGGGGGACCATAACAATGTGCTGTACACACAGGCACATATACTGTGCAAACACATGGTAAATGCAGGCATGCAAACAAGCACTGACTCATGCACGTGTCATGTCTCTGAGCGAGCAGGACACTGGAGAGGCTAAAGCCATGTCCCTGAAATCCAAGCGCCCACACCTTGACCTCTTTTCTTTGATGTCTCTGAACCACCACACACACTCACATATTCCCACCCTGACACCATCTCCCCAAACTAACACACTGTTTCAGTCACACACACAGATACACATCGCTCTTCAATTACTCTAAGTAATCTCCATTAATCCAAAACCCCGTGGGGTCACTATACAATACAGCCCAGCTGTTTGTGAAAAACTACTGTCTGATTGTACAATAAAACATCTCTAACACAATTACCATGCACAAACACCAACAAGGCCTCAAAGTTTAATCTGCTAATGATGCCAAGCTTTTAAATGCACATGAGTGGTCACTGCAATAGTACACTGCCACCCCAGAACATACTCTGGTCAGAGGTCAGTCTTAACTCCTCCTTTGCTGAACAAGGTAACTTACAACTTAAAGACATTTACCAATTGCCAGTGTATTGAGCCAAAAATTAAAGGCTGTATTTATTTTAGAGCAAGGACACCCAGAGGTGAGGTATGCTCTTTCAAAATAAAACAAATGTCAAATTTCTCTACAATCAACACCTGACAGCTAATCATAAAAATGAAGCCAGTATTGAGATGATAAAACATACACAGTGTTTCCCATACATCGACTTATCTGTGGAGGGCCACCACAATATCAACACTGACCACCACATAGATTTAAAATACATAAGTTAAATCTCAGTGTAGTGCCGTGTGTAGCACATGTATTCGCTCAAAAACTCAATATAACTGTTATGAACTGCTGCACCTCTTTATATTACTGAAAATCACTAGAAGATTTAGGACTGAGAACGCCCGTTTCCTAAGATCCTTCAAACCAGTTGGACCGTGTTGTGTTAATGCAGTGAAAGTGGAGCCGACAACGCCGTCTAAAGGATATGAAGAAAATGCACAGCCTGCCCTCCCACTGCGACAAGCAGGTTTAAATCATCTGCACCTAGTCTATTTGAAAACTCTGAGAAGCCAGGTATGTTCAGCAGCTCTGGTATCTCAGCGTCCAGGCACGCTAACCCCACCCATT